GGCCATACATTTCAGATCTTTATAATGTATTATATAGAAACTTAAATAATCACATACCAATTATTCCTTTTGGCAAGGTAACAACATTTTGAGAGACTGGGCTCTTTTTTAAAAATTTACAATGGTTCCAGGTAAAAGTACTCTGGGCACTTGACAACATAAATGATGTCAATTACCTTCATCCGCATCCATTTATCAAAATAGCGGCCTTTGACATTCGGTCCATCTACACACACACACACACCCCCCGCTCTCTTTTAGAGGCATTTGACAAATGTAAAGAGGCGACTGTCAAGACATACAAGTCGGACACTTTAAAAAACAAACAAAACTTCCACCCCGGAACTGGGGGCTGCCCCCGACGCAGACGCTGCCCCCATGACCGAGAAACGCTCAAGACTCTCTACCGCGGCTGCAACGCGGCTCCCCGAGCCCGGCTCAGGCTCCGCAGCGCGCCTGGGAGCCGCCCCAGCGGGACGGGGCCGGACATTAGGTGCAAGGGGGTGGTTGGGGCCTTAACGCCGCGCTTGTTTCAACGTCGCCGGGGGGGGGGGGGGCTGAAAATCACCCAACTACGCGTGACCCAGGGACACCCCGCGGGGACCGGGGCCCTTTCTCCGGATCCAGCTTCCTCCCGCTCGCCTCGCTCCGGCTGGCTCGCCCTGGAAGGATCCGGGCAGGGGGGCTGCGCCCAGAGACGCCCCCGGGACCGATCCGCGCAGGGCTGCGGGGGACTCCCTGAGCCAGGCCCCGGGAGGGCTCTGGCGCAAAACAGCGGACGTGGAACCAGTCCCCCCGCAGCGCCGCGCCGCGCCGCCCCGCCGAGGGGCGGGAGTCACCTTGTGGCAACGGCCGGGCCTCCAGCGTCGTTTACCGCCCCCAGGTGCGCGCAGCAGCGGCTCGCGGAAGCTCCGGCCCTTAGCAACCAGCCACGCGCCTGCCGCGCAGTCTCACGGGCCCCTAGCAACATCGCGAGAGGTCTGGCGGGAAGGGCGGGGTCGCGACACGTGGGCGCAGGCTGAACTCCGCCCGGGGCAGCTGTTGATTTGCTCAAGCGGCCCGAGGCCGCTCGGAGGGGGATCGCTGGGGCAGAGGGAAGTCACTGCTGAATGACACGAGCTCACCCGCTCCTTTCTCCCTAGCCCATGGCCTAGTGCATCTCCTGCTGAGTTGGTACAATAAAGCCTAGTCTCTCTCGCCTGCTTTGTCCCCTTCAGAAACTGGCGTCAATAGGGCTGCAACCGGTGTGCACATCTCCTGCTGCTTTCAGCCAGGGTGTGTCTAGACTACATGCGGAAGTCACTGCTGAATGACACGAGCTCACCCGCTCCTTTCTCCCTAGCCCATGGCCTAGTGCATCTCCTGCTGAGTTGGTACAATAAAGCCTAGTCTCTCTCGCCTGCTTTGTCCCCTTCAGAAACTGGCGTCAATAGGGCTGCAACCGGTGTGCACATCTCCTGCTGCTTTCAGCCAGGGTGTGTCTAGACTACATGCCTCCTTCGACGGAGGCATGTAGATT